AAAAAAAGAGCTTCATTTCACATTATTTATTTATTTAATTGGTATGTGCAATTATATAGTATTACTTTGTACTAAGCTAAGACAATATATTTTTTAAAACATACATACTTACTTTTAAATTAAACATCGTGTTTGACGTGACAATTATGTAGTTATCTATATTTTTTCAGACAGAGATACATACTACCACATAATCATGTATGTTACCTTATGCTCATAGTAAGATGTTAATAATGTTTTCTTCTTCTTCTTCTTTTGTTGTTAACAGAACATAAAGTTTTTTACTTTTGTAGTTGGTCATTTATTTTCGTTGACTTTATTAGGGGCTTGGGAATCTATAGGAGTTTGGTGAATCTTGCATTCAAATATTCAATAAACACAAAGAGCAAGAGTTGATGGAGATGGTTTACCCGTGGAGATCTCTTGTGCTCTGTGGATGTCAGTGGGCCTAGCCCATTTTCTGAGGCCTTCTTCACCTTTTGGGCCTGCTAGGATCTTTTCTCTTGCTCAAGCCCACCTGCAATAGACACCTACTTAGACAAAGCGATTGGCCTAGAATAATGGAGTAAATGTAGAAATCATTGCCACAGTTATATCGTTTTCATATGTTACTCTATTAATATTAAAAATATTTTTATATATTTTTAAAATAATGGAATAAATATTAAATTATATATTTAATTTATTATATACAATGAAATTAAAATAAACATGTAATAATATTAAATCATAATTACATTATATTATTGTCCATATCACTATTTTGAATTTTTGATAATTCAATCAAATGGGTATTATAAATCTTGAAGGCGGATTTTAATATTCAAAATTAATTGTAACCTCTAGACCACCACAACAAACAAAAAAATAAATAAATAAATAAATAAAAACTTATAAGTTATTAATATTCATTCAGCGGAGAGAGTCGGCAGTTGAGGAAGTCTGCCTCATATCGTTGGCTCCACCACTGCTGGTTTTGCTGTGCTGTCTGCATCACTAACCTTTTTTTTTTTTATTTAATTATTAATGTTCTTACTTTATTTCCCATGTTCTACTTTATTTTCAGTCCGTAAGTGTAAGTTAGAGCAATTCATTTCAATCAAAATTGTAAAAAATGATACAGTATTGCAATTTGCAACTATAAAAATAACAAATAATAATGAGAAATCAATATAAACTATAATATAAATATGACTAAATTATATGTAACATCAGTTAATATATTGTTTGCATTTTTCCCATACATTGAGTTATGACCATTTTCAAACATTGATAAATGCTCAAATTTAGTCCAACTGTTCTCTGTCCCTTCCCTTCATAAAGTTGGCAAAAAATAATAAAAAGATTGTCACTCATCAGAACAACATATCCCATCTAGATTCAAACTTAATGATTGTTCCCAACAATTTAACATTAAGAAAAGAAAAATATATATTGCCACAACTATCAAATCAGAAAATCTAATACCCTAGAATTTACGAAAAAAAAAAGAAAAAGTTTGTCCAAAGTCCAAACACTGCATTCCCCTCGGCATAGATTATCAGGAACATGATAAAGTAGAGCCCCCAATGGTTCAGAATCTAAAAAGACATCACTTTACCTCATATTCAGTCTCTATTAATAATAAGAATTAATAAAACATATGTAAGGCAAGAGATGACAACAACACACACTCTATAAGAACACCTTTTCTTTTTTCTTCTTTTCCTCATATTCTGCTGGGCCTAATGAATTTAAAAACCTCAAATCTCATGTTCCAGGAAAGAGGGGAGGATTTAAAGGTACAATTCTTAAGTTTGAATCTTTGTTTCTACATGATTAAGTTAATGAAACCTCCAATTAGGGAGCAGTTACATGCATTTTCGTTTTAAAAAAAAATATTTTTTCTTTAAAAAGATGTTTTTTCTTCTCATTTTCTCACTTTTTTGCTCCCTTTTCTCTCTTTGTGATTTTCACAATGGAACTTTGAAATAAAAAGTCAATTATTACTATGAAGTATAAACTTTACTATTTATTCATTTATGTATTACAACTATGAATCAAAATTACTATTTTGACATCACATTTTGTATTATTATTAAAATTAATAAATTGTCCACAGTTTTTTCCCAACCATAATAGTTTCAGTCAAATGAAAATGTATCAAATCACATCTTTTACATATATTTAGGTTAAAATTTGAAAATTCTAGATTTTGTTAAATATAAATGTGGAGTTTTCTCAATATGATAATACAACCAAACATACATAAGTTTTTGTAGGCTAGCTCATGTATCAAACTCAAGAATTTATTATTAGAAATGCGAACATTTCTACTCTCTCTTTAAAAAGATCACAATTCACAAATACCCATCCACCATGTGAACCAACCCCACCACACTCACCTCATTTTCTACTCTCACCTCTGGACCCTCTCTGTATTTCACAACAGCAAGCCAGCAACCAAAGAAAAGGGCCATTCTTTTCTTTTCCTCTCTCAAGGAAAAAACAACAAAAAAGCAAAAAACAATGTTTGAACCATCTGAAATGCCTTCATCATCAATATGGGCATCAATGAACAGCTGGTTCACACCTGCTGTCTTCTTTGTGCTTCTCAATGTCATGATAGGCACAATTGCCTTCACCTCCACAATTGCCAACAAGAAGCAAAACCAACCAACAAATCAAAACCGGCATCAAAATGGAGAAACACACAATCAACACAAACCCTCAGTCTTGCAGCGCCTCAAATCCACTAATTTCTACCCTTATTTCAACAGATCTCAACAAGATCCTCACAACTTGTCTGTTTACAAACAAAATCCGGAGTCTTTCAATCATGAACAATCTCATGAGAATATTGAACTTGAGACCCATTACTTTTTCCAAGAAAATCTTCAGGTATCATCACAGTCCCAAGCCACAAATTACATTTTCGAACAAACCCACGACCAGAATCATCAAGAATCACAAACCCATTTCACCTTCGAGCAAAATGATCCGAATTTGGGCGGTTCAAAGCAGACCCATATAGGTTTCGAGCAAAAAGATCCGAACTTGGACGGTTTCAAGCAGGCCCAAGAGGAGAAAATCGAAGACAGCTCAGCAGTCGAGCAGAGCATGGACGAGGTTTACAGTCAGCTCGCCGGCAGCCATTTCATCAGGACCAAATCGGACACGGAGCCGACCTCCGGGGAGATTCCGATAAAGCTCCCGGCCAGGATTAGGAAATCTGCGAGCTTGAAATCGGCGTTCTGGCATTTCGAGGAGGAGAAGATCGTGGAGGCGCGGCGGCCGGCGACAGTGAGGGAACGGGCGGCGGCGGAGGGCGATGCTGAGGTGGACGCGAGAGCCGACGATTTCATCAATAAGTTTAAGCAGCAGCTAAAGCTTCAGAGGCTGGATTCGATTATCAGGTACAAGGATGTGATTGGGAAGGGGAGTACGGGGAGGTGAAGGGCTTTTAGGTTTGTGGTTTTGGTATTTTTCAGGGACTTGTTTTGTAATTTCAGTTTAGTAGGGAGTTTTTGGATGAAGGGTTGGGGAAAGTGGAATAGATGGTTTAGAAGGTGCTATCTTGCAAATAAGAGATTATCATGGATAGTGGGATTTGGGAATGGTTTGGTCGGTTTGATTTGATGATGATAATCAATGGCCATTAGATGATGATGTGTATCTTTTTGGTGTGGTGAATGGACTTCTAATTGGTGTTTTGTTATTTCATGCTTGATGTTTAACATTTAAATGATATTAGTACAATACTCGTGTAGGTGTGTTGAGTTAAGAAATATATAATAAAAATATTGTTAAAATAATTTATTTATTTAAAAAGTTTGATAGACTAATTGATGAAAAAAAAAGGAATAGACAGTGCATAAAGTGATTTGTAAATCGTAATTTAAAAGAGAAATATGAGATAAAATTATAATATGATAAAATTGTTATTTGTCCAAACTAAGAAGGAAATATGTACTAAGAGAAAAAAGTAACAAAATTAAATATACACTTACTAAATTTGAAAAAATTTATTTATGTCTAATAACAAGTCTAACTCCAGAGCAAAATGAATATATAAACAACATTATTACGAAGCATAGATTTTTGCCATATCAGCATCCGAAGCGTGAAAATATACCACTTAAAGTCAATATGTTTTGAATTAATATATAAGGAGGGATAGCTCGAAGTTTGAGGTAACGTTGAATAATATCACTTGAACATACATGAATGTGAGGTGTGTGAGAATGTAATGCGCCTAGTCAAACTTGAGTTTCTCATACTTAGACTTTGGCTTGAGTCCTTATGGAGCCGAGCTTGTTAAATTAATTAGCTGATAAATGAGTTTGAGTTGCTGATTGAGCTTGCTCTCGAGCACTTGTTGAGCTGAACTCGTTAAGTTAATAAATCGATTAACAAGTTTAAGCTTGTCTTGTTTACGAGCTTTAATTAGCTTAATTATTTTAGAAGTTCACGAAATTATATATAAAAAAAACTCTATTCTCAAAGACTAATGAGTCGAACTAAAATTGAGTATTAGTTAAATGAGTTTTAGTTCACGAGTGACTCGTTTCGTCTAACAACTTTGAATGTGAGTTATGAATATAGAAATATGAATATGATCACAAGTANAAGGAAAATCAAAATAGTTTGAAATTCTATATGAAATAATTGCATTCTGAATCTTATTTTCATGTAATATGAAAGATAAGAGGCTACTTGGATATTCATCCCTTTCATGACCTTCATGTTTGATAAATGTGATAAGCACAATTGACTGTAAGATGTTGAGGCATTCCTTCCCTTTTGGGAATCCTATCACAAACTTTACCTCAACCAATGGATGCTGCGAGAAGAAAAGTTCCAGATATGGTTTTACAATATTTACATAATGGCCCCAAAAAAGTGCCTTGTGTTTTCATTTTTCAAAAAGCCTACTTTTATGATAAAAATGATCTATATCTTGTTTTTATACCAGTAGAAACTTCACATCATTGAATGTGCAAGACCAAACAAAATAGTGTCACTACACTATTGATTATTTCTTCTCTGAAAATTTGTTGAATAAGGACTAATGTGTCAGCTTATTTTAGTAGAAATTGTAACTTTAAATGCTCTGCTTGATAGATTTTGTGCAAGATGCTTATATCTCTATTTAATATGGCAATCACTAATGATTTGTATACAACTTCATTAAAATATCCATAGTAATACCCAAATTAAAACAATTTTGAAAAAATAAAGTCATGTAACAATTTTGAAAAAAATTGTAGATTATATTAGCCCACGTTTTAGCCAGTGTATGCACTACAAATCCTTTTAATTTCTCTATCTGCATTGCAAGCCTCACATTCAGAACATTCATCATCTTCACACCAGTACTGATTTTTCCATGGATGTTTGTCTGGACTCCGACAGCACTTTCGTGGCTCGACTAAATCCGGGTTTTTCACCCACATCTCTCTCAACTTTCTCAACAAGTTATTGCGCCATATTTTCAACTTGTTTTGTCCCGATTTTGATTTTCTGAAGCGAGCGAGCATATGAACGCCCTTCTTTCTCGACTCCTTGTCTCCACATAACAACAAGATAATGCACGTCAGATAAATGGCCTCCACGTGGCCTAATTTCACGGCTTTCAGTAAGTGCTTGCATGCCGATTCGAGATTTGATCGGTTAAAATAATCAACCTGATGGTAAAAAAAATAATGAATTTGGTGTACATTAATCACAAACGAAAATTACCAGTGCTTGCCTGTACATGGCCTCAGGGTTATTAGATTCGCGACACTTGGTAAAAAATGCAGCCGTCTTTTTCTCCATTGATGGGTTCCAAGGAATCATCGAGAACTTATTCAGTGATACGCATCGATACAGATATTTATCTTCAGCTAATTCATTAAATGCTTTGCAGCTGAAAGGGAACGAAAAGTTAAGGTTAGTTTAGCTATAGAAGATTGATTAACATGCATATACAAAAAATAATGTATTAAAAAAAAAAACTAATTCTACTTTCCAGTTCCTATATGTAATAATAAAGCCAACTCCAGATAGGAATTAAGTAAAGTTCAAAACTCAAAAGGCTAAATTCATTGATGTTCCAACCGTCAGATTGTTGCCACGTCTCATTTTACTCCAACAACGTTAATTAATTTCATTATTACTCAATTCGGCCTATAATTTTAATTACCTTCCAAAATCTAATTAGACTACTATAATAAATTCAAAATTATGGTAACTTACCATCAAACAAATTCTGGAAGAAAAATTCGTGAAAAGAAAAAGGCGAAAAGAAAGAGGGAAATTTCACCTCAGATTCAAATGTGTAAACATATGATTAGTACAAATTGTATTTTTGATTGTCTTATGTTCCTTATACTTGGCAGTTCGCAATACGTGAAAAATCCACGGAATTACACATGTTTTCAGACTTATGGACTGAACATTATTATAAACTTAACTTCCACAAAAATTACCTTGACTTGAGATTGAACAAGTCTGTGTGGGACGTGGCAGCTATTCGACTTAAAACTTCGCAAACCAGCAGTTCTTCAGGAATTCTTTGGATGAGATTGCAGCTTGTACCTCGATGTCTTGGCATGGTGATTAATTGATTAACGAACTGTTNTTTTTTTTTTTTTTTTCGGAAGTGTTGTATTAATAAAATTGAATTTATTTGGATGGAAGCAGGAAGTACTTGATTAATCAAGAGAGAAAGCATGCATGAAGCGTGGTATGCATACATACGTACTTCTATAAGCGAATGAACGTTTATATTTTGATGAAAGTTTTTTTCTCCTAATCCTATTTGGAAAAGGGAATTGCAAAATATTTGGAAACAAAATAGAATGTTTTTTTTTTTTTGGTACAATACAATATAGAATGTTTATTTGTTGGTCAAAGTTTTTTTTCTATATGAAAAAGGGAGTTGCATTAAAGCTGCGAATAGTTTTGGAAAGAAAATAGATTTTAGTTAGAGATCTCAGGTTAGAAAAAGAGAGAGAAAGTCGGTAGTTAGAGGTCTCAGGTTAGAAAAAGAGAGAGAAAGTCGGAGATTATTACAATATTCTTTCCTAGTTAATTTGAGTTTGATTGTAAGAGCAATAAAATATGGATTTGAATCTTCCCGTTTGTTTTCTAGATGTTTTATAAGAATCAAACACATAATTATACATATGTTTTCTCGTACATGAAATTCTATTAATTAAAGAAATCAATAATATCAGCTATCAAAGTTGAACAAAATTCTCCATACTTTGTTCTGGCTTCAAAATACCAAACTAAACTTGGGGCATTGTTTCCCTACACAATCATATTCATCCCTTTTTCCAAACCAAAAACTCAACATAAATAATCAGCATCTCCAATTGGACAAAACAATATAAAACTGAAAATAAATAGTAATAATAATAATAATTGAATAGTTCAGGGGGAGTCATTGCAAATTATGTGAGTGGTTGGCCGATTGACCTGAGCTAGCAGGGCCTTGATCTGACTTGGGGTCAAAGTCTGGTGCTCGAGCAAAGCATTCGCTAGCTAGCGCGTGAAGCTCCTCAGAGGGCCATGCCACACGGGACGATGGTGTGGAAGGCGGTTAAACGGCGGCCGATTCTGCCCATTGTGATTTTGTCCTTGGCGGCAATGTTGATGAGGTTCGCCAGATCAGCGTCCACATCATCTGACCTGCGAGAAAGGTATATAATGTACGGTTTTCGGGGGAAAATTGGTGGAGGATCTTGATTTGTCTGAGTTAATTTTAAGGTGGTCGCGAAACATGTTCAGCTACCTCGAGCTTCGGTTCTTTTTTTCTTTTTTTCCCTCCTTTTCTCAACGAAATCTGTAATCTTGACGAGATTAGTTTGCCACAGGTCTTAAACTAGTTAATTTAGCAAGGATAATGAAGAAACTCGGAATAGAGGGATTGATTGATTGTTGTTATAAAATGTTTCAAACATAGGAGAGGCGCTAAGATAAGATAATCATTATTCGCAAAAAATATAAGAAATTTTAGCTTGGACATGTGGGATTCCAAAATCTGCCTCCGCTCTTGAACATCTGGATTCGGGACCACAATAGGCAGCCTTGTCCAGCGACTCGGGGAAGTTAGTGGCGGCAATTACAATAATGCCCTCATTCTGTTTGAGCTAGCAGCTCCCAGTATCATTTCGACTAGGAATAAAGTCTAAACCAAACGCTGAATATATTATGCACGCACCTCTTTGCAAAGTCTTAACCAGCTCACTCTCATCAAGCCTGTCGACCTTAACCAGATCTTTGACATACTCAGCAAGGGCTGATGGGTTCGAATGTAAGGTAGTTTGACTCTCGAACAACCTGATGACTCAGCAAGGGCTCCTTTACATATGCGGCATCACTCGATCCCTCATATTTGCGCATTCTACGGCTAGGCTGCCAAGTGCCGATTATGGTGGTGCTATAGCATAATATATCAAGTAGTAAAGTGCTGCAAGAGAAAAATGGACGTGCGTCACATGCCTTCATTTATTACTTTTTTCGAAGAAAGAAAAGAAAAAATAAATAAAAACTTATTATACTAGAAACATGCAGATAAGCCAAAGATTAAGCTATATCCTCAAGAACAATACATACTATTTCTTAGACACTGGTATTTCGACAGAATTTTGATGCTCAAAAGTTGAAGCATTTCATCAGTAGACTCATAGTAAATTTCACAAATAATTTACTGCCTACAGTAGCTTACTGCGCATGAATCTACATGGCATTGGATAGGATTCTCAGTGCCCAAGCCAAGTGCGAAAGGAGAGGAAGGTAAAATTCCAAGGAAGCTCGATGTATGTAAGTCGTACAGATATAAGTGATATCATTCAGCATAAAACCCACTACAATATATATTCATCACAAAATACAGTCTTTCACCATACAGTTGAAAATTTAATTTGGGGCTAGAATAACTAATTTGAATAAGAAAAGGCCAATAATCTTAATATGACAGAGGGACAAATTAAAGGAAGACTTTAAGTAGAAATTTCAAGTACTCCAGTGCATACCAGCTCCTCTGGCATTTGTTGAAGTTCGATGAGTTCCAGCTGCCAGATAACTCAACAACCTCAACTGTGACCCATTTGGTTTGACCTAACATTATAAAGCATAACAATCAACTTAAAGCTAACTGAACCTTGAATTCATGATCATTACAAACAGATGGCATTAAGCAACTCATCTGTGAAAGGCATATCAAACTATAATATCACAAATACAGAAATACATCAATAACTTTGGAAGAAAGCCAAATAGAGAGCTAGAGGGTTTATAAAAATTCTATATTTAAACCAAAAACCTGGAAAACTAGATCTTTGCTGATAGAATCAATATAAATATCCAAACTTTCATCATAGTTTGAAATATATATATTTTTAGACGATAATCGAACACAGGGCAATCGAATTAGTACCTGTGAGCTTTGCAACACCAACCTCAGCCAAGGAGATCATTTTTTTTTATTCGGAGTCACAGGTCGTGTAATTCACGAATGTAGAATTTGTGAGAATTTGTAAGTTGCATCCACTGAACTTGTAAGAATTTGTGAAAATTAAGTGGAGCTTGAAGGAATTATCATCAAATTACACGGGTGCAAAATCAATTGGAATAATAAGATGTTTTAGAAGATGATAATGACGGCGAAAGTAACGCGAAGAGGAAGAGAAAGCGCCGGCGAGAGTGATGAAGAGTAGAGGCAGATTCAGGGTTAAATTCAGGGTTAAATTAGTCACTCAATAGCATTAAGTAAGAGTATAAAGGAATTAAAGGGTTATATTAGTCAAAGTGTTATGAAATTACCTAAGTTAGCTTTTGAATATATATGGAATGTCCGAACCTAAATTAATTATCTATAATAACAATATTTTTTGTCCAAACCAAAATACGAAGCATGATTCTTCGCCAAGTAGGATTCTGAAGCACCAGAAACAGCCACGTAGGCTCAGCGCATTGGGGAATTATATATAGGGGGGATATTAACTTTTAAAGTATTAAAATCCATAAACAAAACAGTTCAACTACGGGAATATGACAAGAGGGCAATCAAAGACAAAACACCATGGGTCCCAGTTTAAAACTGTCCCCACTAATCTTTCCTTTTAAAGTCATGGATTTTCTAGTCACCCTCTCGAGAAGTTTACAGAAGAAATCCTTCACCAATTTAATTAATTCCTCAGCTAACCCACTGCTGCCCCACAGAACACTTTTTTGCTGCAATAACACACTGGAAAAAAGATCATCAAAATATCTTAGGCCAAAAGTTCTACTCTTTCTCTCAGTCTCTAGAACTTTCCTCTCACCTCCCATAAATAATCACTCGCCGGTCGCCACACCTACTTCACTTGACACCAAAATAATCACTCGGGAGCAAAATATCTCTTCTAAAAGTCTTTCTTTTTTTTTTTTTTTTTTTTTNTTCATTTGGTGATGGAAGGGGTGGAGGTGAAGGGGGAAAAAGAGGATTGCATCGTACGCGGCGGTGGCGGTGTTGCTGCGTCTTCTTTTTCTTCTTCCTTCTCGTCTCCGCCGCCGCCGATGCCGATGGAGGGTCTGCACGAGGTGGGCCCGCCTCCGTTCTTGATTAAGACCTTCGAGATGGTGGAGGATCCTTCGACGGACGTCGTGATCTCGTGGAGCAAGGCCAAGAACAGCTTTATCGTGTGGGATTCTCATAAATTCGCCACGAATTTGCTGCCCAAATATTTCAAGCACGGCAATTTTTCCAGCTTCGTCCGGCAGCTCAATACATATGTGAGTGGTTTTTCTTTTTCAAGAATCCATTTTTAAGAAGTGTCTCAATTTTATTTTTGAGTGATGAGTTCAATGCATCATTTTTTTGGCTTTAGTAGTGTGATTTTGATCAGTTGCTTGGAAAGTTAATTGCTTTTATGTATTTATTCTGATTTAGTTTTTGTCTAAGTAGGCACGAGTTTTCTATCTTTTTTGGCTTTTCTAGTGTGGTTTTGAGCAGTTTCCTGGGAAAGATAACTGCTTTTATCGTATTAATGCTCTTATTTTGTTAACTCTATATCTGAAATTTTAGTCTGATTTAGTTTGCCTTGATAGTCATTTGATATTTCGTATGAGGTGTTCCCATTAATTCATTCAACTCATTGTCTGATATGGTTTCAACAGAATTGGTGTACTTGCGTTGAAATAGAGTAAACTAAATTCAATAGTCTTTTGTGTTTGAAACGATCAGTGTGCATACATAATAATGTAATTTGAATTTCACAATTTCGATTTAAAGACTTAGAGAAAGAAAAAATAAAATAATTAATTTTATTTCTGATCAACATCCTATGCTTGCAGTAATGGTGGCAAGTTAGCTGTTTCAAGAAAGAGACTGCCGTAGCTTGTTTACTCTGTTTCTTGTGGTAACTATCGAAAACACATATCTATTCCTAACTATCATGACATTCCTAAAATGCCGAAATAATCCGCAGGGTTTTAGAAAAGTGGACCCGGACAGATGGGAGTTCGCCAATGAGGGATTTCTGGCCGGACAGAAGCATCTCCTCAAAACCATCAAACGGAAGCGAAACGTTGTGCAGGGCCCGAACCCCCAAAACACGGGCCCGTTCCTTGAGCTGGGCCACTATGGAATTGAAGAGGAGCTCGAGAGATTAAGACGTGACCGGAATTTGCTAATGTCTGAGATCGTCAAGCTCAAACAGCAGCAGCAGAGCTCGAGGGCTCGAATAATCGAGATGGAAGAGAGAATACTGGCCACCGAGAAGAAACAACAGCAGATGATGAGTTTCATTGCAAAGGCCTTCAGGAGCCCGTCATTCGTTCAACAATATGTGGATAAATACAAGGACATGAAGCATATTGAGATCGGGCAGAAGAGAAGGCTCACGATGAGCCCGGGAGTCGAGGATTTTCAAGAAGACGTGAATGCTTCCACTAGCGCTGGCGGGCCTCTGGACTATGTGGGCCTGGATGAAGTTGGGCTTGAGGATATTGAAGTTAAGGTTGATGATCTGTTAACGGCCGGGCATGATGGTGCTTCGAGCATTGACTTGAAGAGCACGATGGCTTCCACTAGTGAGAATGAGTTGAATAATGTGACAAATATATGGGAGGAGTTATTGAATGATGATGTCACAAATGAGGCTGATGATGTGGAGGTTGAGGAATTGGTGGCTAAGGTGCCTGATTGGGGTGAGGATCTACAAGATCTTGTGGACCAGTTGGGGTTTCTTTGAAATTAAATTGGATGTGATTTAAAGGATTCGAGTTGGGGTGTGATTGTTTGGTTGGTTTAAGTGGCCTCCGGTTCTTTCAATGAATATCAAGTTCTAGTATTGCGTATTAGATTTTCAAGTGTATATGCAAATATGTTGGTTATTTTTTAGGTGTGGGTGAGCTGAAGGCTTGATTTGAATGGATGCACGTTGCTATTTGTTTTCATGGTGTAATTAATCCCTTCTGTTTTGTTTTTTTTTTTTAAGTTATTGACTGGTTCAATATTTTGGGTTTTCACAGCTTTTTTTTCTTTTCTCCCTGCAGATGTGCAACTTTACTGCAATTGATAAGGATATCGAGACGCACTCCATTATGCGACTCGACTGCAGTTGAGAAAGATATTGACACACACTCCATTATGTGACAACTTACTGTTAATATGGTACATTTTTCCCTTCTCCTTGCGTTGTAGAACTGCGTTCTTGTAGAAAAGATGGCTTTTCTATATAGTGTCTTGGAGTCGTACCTAATTTTTGACTAATATAAGTTACATGGAATTTGGTTATATTTTTCTAACAATCCCTGGGACAAAAGACTCGTCTTGAACACATGGTTTTGCTGTAATTATGCACATGCACTGTGTGCCAAACCTCTGTTTCTTACTTTAACTTGTGCTGTAATCAAGCAATAAGATTTGTCACTTTGTATTAGTGTTATGCCATTGAGCATTTCTGTTATCATGCCAGTTAAGAAGATGAAAGATTGTTTAGTTAAGTTGAACAAAAAGAGCTCCATTTGTGCGTAAACATCAAATACAGAGTACAAATTTGGCCAACATGTTGTCATTCACCTTTGAATAGTTCTAAAATTATCCAGAGTACAAAAGTATTTGAAAACTAGTCACCGACACAAATTTGGCCAACCAGTGTGTAAGTCAAATTCATTGTAAATAAAATCATGTTCAGATCCTCCCAGTCGATTTACGTCATACACGACTGATCCATAAACTTATGCTGCAGATATTGCTTTCGATTGTTGCTGAGGAGGTATACATAGCCATGTTTTCATCATGTCTTTTGCCATAAAACCAATTGCAGAAGATGGTACAATCTACAAACTCTCAACAGATGTTTTAATCTTAAAATCCAAGATTACAGCTGGGAACAAATGAATGAGAACTATCAAGTGCTGCCTCATACAAATGGAGGTAAACGCAGATCCTAGTCTTGCAATTTTTCCTATTATACAAATTATACATATCAAGGGGTTTGAATACAAAAAAAGATAACCACAACTTATTCATTTTGTTTGTACTAGTAAAGTGCACGTGCATCGCACGTGGCGCCGAATGTTTTTTTGCCGATTAAGTTTAGTAAAATAAATTAATTAATTTATTAAACATATCATTGCAGGAACAAAATAAAATGTAGAACAAATAAGTTAGCTCCTAATGTATTTTTTTGTCCAAATATGACATAACGATGTACTAATATAAAAAAAATAAAATAACATATTACAACCCCGGCAAAAATACATGAAAAATGAATCCATATTTTTTTTAAAAAAAAAGATACTAAATAACTAAATAAAGACAATGTATATTATAAATGCATTAGTTCTTTTTTTTTTTTATTTATGTTTGATTATTCAAGAGTGATTTTCTTTCATTTTAGTTTTGACGTTCTCATAATAAAAACATTCATACCGATTCGAATTCTATACATCAATAGGCAATTTCTTCTTAAGTCATTATGTCTACTTTATTCAAACAATGCAAAATATTTTGTCCAAATATATAGTCAAATCCTATGATTATGATCTTTATAAAGTATTGCTAATAACAATTAATGAATATCTCTGTGAAATAATCAACCGTGTCACTAAAATTGCTGATATTATTTTATTTTTAAACTACTACATTATTCTCTCTCCATATAGACAGATTGATACCTCCCCCATGGGGTGAGAATGAGTTTTATTTCCAAATAAAAGTTGACCTTTCAAAATATTGGTTACATATACTTCTCCCGAGACGCTAAATTATTTTTTTAAATCATCACACATTACATGAAGACTAAATTATTTTTTGAAATCATCATACATTACATGAAAGTATATACTCTGGAGTACTTGCACATATGTTCGAGCACAATACTCCAATAAAATTGTAGATATTTCTATCAAAATATAATAACTTCATTCAAAAATTCAAAAATATTTTTATCATGCTCCGACATTTCTTTTTCAATGTTATTTATTTTGAAGATAGACGAACTATATAATATGTTGGTTGCAAATTATTGAACAGCTTGGTTGATCCAATGATTTCAAACGCTTTTATTGTCCAAATTTTTGCATCAATCATAAAGTTTTAAAAATTTATGATAAATATCTTTTCTTGATTCTTTAACAATGAAAAAAAAACAATGAGATAATATTGAGAAACATATCATTTGTTAAAATATTAGAGAGGAGAAAAATCAAAATTCTATTATATTATAATACTCTTCGCCATCTATGAAATTCATTACAAAATCATTATTAAAATATATATTATCTATTACAAAGTTTTTTATTTTTTTTAATTATTTTAAAAATCAAAATTGATAATATAGGGTCATAATTTATGAGAATTTAAATGACAGTAATAAAAAATGTAGTAATTATAAAAGACTTTTGTTTCTAAATGTTGATATTCATATTTCTCTAAAATAATAATAAAAAAAAATCAGACTTCTTTTTCCTCATTGCCTTAATATTGTTTTATTTGTTTCTTATTATATTCGCAGATAATATTTTATTTGTTAAAAGAATTAGGGCATATTTATATATATTGTTTAATTTGTTTACAAATCTTATATAATTATGTTGTTATCAAAGTATCTTATTTATTTGACTACAACTATAGTCACATAAGATAAAATATTATTTAACATTATTTATTTATTTATTTATTATAATATATATTTGATAAAATTGTACTTTTATACTGTTATAAGATTAAAAAGTTCACTTTTTTTTTTCATTTTTTGATAAAACATAATGTAACTAACTCATTTTCATATTCATTGAAAGTATATGTTACAACGATTATGGTGTTCCGTTTGAAGAAGTATTGAATAATAGTTTAGCATACTACTCATTTATTACTCTTTTTAATTCACATAATTAAAATTGACAATAGTTGTAAGTTTACATCTAGTTTTTACTTTTTTCGTAGTATTAATATTTTAAATCTTTGTAAAAAAAATGTCCACATGTTTACCTTATGTTAATTTATACTTAATAAAATTTATTTAACATAGATTTATAATCTATTTTATGAGATACTTTTAGGTCCATTTATTATTTTTAATTGGTATTGATAATATATATATATATATATATATATATATATATGTATATTATTTTATATCGTTATAAATAATTATAATATTTTTATTTTATTTACAATAAATTATCAAATCAAACATCATTGGAAAGAAATGATGTGATGTATTACATATAAAAGGATAACAAAAATAATTTATTAAGTATTTCGAAAGTAAAAAATTTAATGTTAGAAAGTAATGAAATATTTAACTAAAAATTAATACCAATTCTATCGAATATTTAAATGTTATTCCTCTCGTTTGAATTATTTCAATAAAAAAATATAACAAAAATATTTTGTTAGAATCATGGGCAAATCTATTTTTTTTAATACGGTCGACATATGGCTACTTCCCAAAACATATAGCATAATATATCTAACAAAAATTATGGGAACATTTTTCATAATTTTATTCATGCCAAATATTCAGAAAGTAAAATTAAAAGAAAGAAAGATAAATAATGAATTAATTTGTGACTCAACCAATTATAATTTAATTCAGCTCATAACTTTATTAAAGTTATACCATAAACACAGTATCACAACTAAAGAAAATATGATAAATTTAGAAATTATAATTTCACCCTTTTATTTTTTTTTTTAATATTGATGATAGCTTCTATTCTCTCTTTTGCAACATATTTTTTCTCTAACATTTTCATGTCTCTTTTAACTAATGTATATAGAATTATAGTTATATGTTAATAATTGACAAATTCATCAATTATATTGCCGAGTCAACTATACCACAACATAAAATTTTTTGTTCATAAAAATTTTAAAAAATATATTATTTTCAATGATTTTATTATGTGGAAGAAAAATTATGTTTTTTTGTTAATTTATTTTAACTTGTCGTGACTGTATTGATGTATTAAAAATGTATTACACGTGAAAAATATGACAAATTACTAAATAAAATATGATAAATCTAAAAATTACAATTTCACCCTTTTAATTTAATTTTATTTATTTTAATCTCGATGACAACTTCTAATCTCTCTTTTACAACATATTTTTTCTCTAACTTTTTTCATGACTTCTTAACTAATGTATGTGTTATTATAGTTATATATTAATAATTTACAAATTCATCAATTATATTGTCGAGTCAACTATACCACAACCTAAATTTTTTGTTCATAAAAATTTTAAATAATATATTATTTTCAATGATTTTATTATGTTGAAGAAAAATTATATTTTTTTGTTAATATATTTTAACATGTCGTGACTGTATTGATGTATTAAAAATGTATCACAGGTGAGAAATATGACAAAGTATAAATTGTAAAAGCATTATGTTATTTTGATGGTATAGTGCCCCCTGTAAGAAATTATTTTGGATCTGCCACTGCATTTAGCTTTTCAATGAAACTTCCATTGAACTTTTTACAATTCCAATGGCTGTTTTTCCAACGGTTGAAATATTGTCTGAGAAAAAATCCAATGAAAAATCACACAACAATAAATAAAAGTAATGAGAACAAGTAATCATTTAAATTCTAATGTAATTTAACTTTATCTCAGTTGGGAATAGCCAAGAAGTTTTCAATGAAAGTCATACCAATGAAATATCCGCTGGAATTTTCAGGGGAATACCTTACGGTTGGTTTTTTTTTTAATTTATTCATTTTTAAACATTAAATTTTTATGTGATATCTTTTGTTATTACTTAATTATATTTACAATTTTTCTTTTAAAAATACATTAAACACATGGCTTTTTAGTCATGTAATTGTTTTAGAAACCACTCATTATTTTATCTCAAGATTACCTATTAATTTCTTAATCAAGTTATATTTCTTACATATTAAATATTTAATAATAAAAATATTTAGTATTGTATAATTGTAATATGATATTTGTATATTATATTTAAAAAACTAATATCAAATAAAAAAGTTATTTAAAATTAGAAAAATTAATTTTTTTTTAAAAAAAAATTAGAAGTTCTAACCTAAATGGATAAAAGTACAAATAACTATTGTCTGTCACCTAAACTTTACACATAGAATTAATAATCACAAAAAATTAACAAATGTTTACAACTCAACTCATTTATATTGATAAATACAAGTTTAAAAGTTTTATATTTATTTTAATCAATTATAACACTTTTAATATTATTTATGAAATTTTATATATGTCTTATTATATATTAATTTCATACATTTTTGTAAAGAAAAACAATGCTTTATTATCATAATACAGATTGGATAGATGGATACTGGTAATATATCCATAAATATAAGATGATTATTGGTGTAGTATTAATTTGCCATTCAAAGTAAGAGTTTTTTTAGGTAGTTCATTTGTTAATTAAAAATATAAAATAAGATGGGTATTACTATATTACTAATTTACCATTAAAAATATGTCAAAGTAAGGGTATTTTAGACAGATCATTATTTTTACAAAATCACTTGTCCTTTTATAATAGTATAGATTTCTAACGATTCAAGATGTAGTACATCTAAAACAGAGATAAAATACCTTGATACAATTGATACTTAGACCGGCAAACAATGGTTTTACTTGTACCATCACATCATGCAACTAAAGTCAATGTATCATTAATTTTCAAATATAGAGGTGATATAAGAGAGATGAGGAGAGATATGGCGGTCACAAGGAATAGGTATAACTAATTTATTTCAATTTTATTTTATTTTTTAATTGAAGTGAATGAGCAAGAAACATATTTGGTCTAAAGTATATCCCCCAAAAATGTAATTAGGACATTCAACTGCCAAATCAAAGTCAAATGCAGGATGAATTTCATTTATTAGTAACACAATACATCATTTTGGAGTAAATCTTAAAAAATATCATATAATTATAGCCTCAACTATACTACAAAGATCCCTCAACTTTTTACTCGCAATCTTGAGGGCCTCCGGCTCGGGAGGCGGCCTCGCAAACTTGGCATCACAAGAAGCAGCTCGTTTGGATGCGCCCGATAAATAACTTTTAACTCTTTTGTAATCACCTATCTTAATGCGCCTTTTGGCCTCATCAATATAATATATGGCTTGATTGTAAGCGACCATACACTTTTGGTACCTTTCTCTTACCTCACGGCTTGGATCAATTAAACTGCGGTACTTTTGCTCAATCACCTTGTGTATCTCTTTTGCACAGGGCCCGGCTACTGAGATTGGCCGTATGGCTAAGGTTGCGAAGTTTGAATTGGAGAGTGGTGACCCGATTAGGCCCTTTAAGACATCCAAGCATAAGGGGGGGTTCGATGTTTTGGCGCAAATTACGGTGAGATATTCATTTGTTACTTGCTCTTTAGGTTCCACTGCATGGGTTTGGTTGATTGGGGATGATAGGACAATACATGAGACTATTAGAGTGAGAAAATTATATCTCATAGTTTTTGTGATGTTTCTTTTCTTTGGTATTGTTAGCTCACTTGCCAAGCCAAATTAGGATTATAATAGAACAACAACATGAGTAACATACAAGAATTCTCAAATCAGCCTAACTAACCGAATCGCGCCATTAGGGTCAAAAGTTCCCCGGCCGACGAGCGCTACATGAATTCCGGCCAGAAAACGACACGGAGCCGGCAGGGCTCGTTTTCCGGTGATGGTACGTCGAGACCCTCTCTCCTTTCTCGTCATACACGACGACCCCCTCATCATCTTCTTCGTCGGGAACCCGACATTTTTCCCCCAATATGATGGTCTTCTTCCACAACCCCTCGTCTTTCGACCCGAACCTCCGGTGGCCAGAAGAGGACGGCGCTTTCTCCGGTGAGGCGTCGGAGGTTGTCGGTTTCTTGCGGCTCAAGCCGGCGCAGAGGTATGAGGCTGCATCATGCAATAAGAAATGTGTGTAATTATTTTGATAGATTAAATCAAGATTTAATGCATGGGTTGAATAACTGTTCATGGATAAATGAGTTCATAATAATTGTAAGCATATATTGTTATTATTACCTAATTTTCTTCCCATGGGGGAGGAGAGAAGAAAGATATAATATGAATATTGGTTCTGTTTCTTGCAATTTGTTTGAAGAAGAGAGTTTCTCTTGAACTCCAGGGTTTTGGGGCTCTTACTTTGGATTTTGTAGTTTTATATAGATTTGTTTGTTGCTCTTATACATACCACCAATTTAGAAACAGTTGAGTTAGTTCTTTTTGCAACAGAAAT